AGAGATTCAAAGAGTATCTATGCATTGAAGATACTCTAATCTTTATAGCTAATCTTCTAATTGGATCATTATCTTTATTTCACGAACTTACAGCTAATTTTCCAATGTCGCGAGAATAAAACGTGGATCATATTGCAGTCTTATTTTGTAAACCCCAATTTCAAGTTTTTACGTTTTCAGTAAATCCTAGAATTGTTCAAAAAATAGCATCCGTGAAGTCAAATGTAATGTCAACCAATAATAAGTGATTCGAAATTGTATTGAGCCCCAAGTTTAGAACAATAGGTACAGAGAGTATTTTTGGTATAGCAAAAAGAATAATTCATAAATATGGTGTTTTTGAAAATTATCCGGATCGCTTTCTTTGTGTGTCGTGTGATTCCACAACTTGTAAGATTTTTTTTGTTTTGTTTATATGAATCATAACTTGCAAGTTGCGAAGACAACAATTAAGTCAACCCTTTGTTATTGATGAATCTTACATCACTATAGCGAATCAAACTTGACCTTATCGATCATCTGGTCCTTTATATACTTATATTCCACATTCCCCAACACAATGAAATTAGTTTTATCGTCTTATTTTCCATTCATCAGATTATACATTAAATTGACAACAGTAGATTGGTATAAAATGTCGATCCGCTAGTTGATTCTTGTTTTCCATCAACACATCATGTTTATATGCTTCCTTTGTCTTTTATTGATCATAAACTAATAAACGTAAACATTTTTTATTTTAGTATAAACGTAAACATCTTTTTGCTTTTTATATTTCAATCTTTTTGCCAATCAACTAAAAATGATTTTCAGCTGATGCCATTTGAAAATTTATACTAAAAACATGACATGCATGAATTATCAACCGAAGCAATATTCTGCTGGTGTATTCTCCGGAACAGAAAGTTTTGGTTTTGGGTTTGGTTTTGATGTTAAGGAATTTATTAATTCCTTGGAACATAACTATAATGTTCTAGAACAAAGTTTGTTTTTTTACAAATAATTTGGAAAGCATTTTGCATATTTTTTCCTTTCGTAAATCTCCATTGACTTTTTAGTGTGGACACGACATTAAGTCACCCACGGGAATAATTTCGAGGATTCTACTTCAATTGATACTTTGGTAGCGTACGTACCGCGTTACCTTTTGAAGAGTTTTCTCATTTTCATGTGT